CACAGACACACACACACACACAGACATACGGACAAGATTGCAAAATTATGTTTTTCCGTATCAGTGAGGTGTAAAACGTCGAGATCTGTAAAAATCTCGATTTTTTTTTTATGCACGATTACAATACTTTCTCTATACTTCGTATATACGAGAAAGTAAAAAGACACACTACAACCACAATCTTAAATGACGTGTTTTAAAAAAGACGAACTATCCACAACCTTGAATGACGTATTTTATAAAGACTAACTATACAATCTATTTCTGACCAAGTGTTTTAGTCTCCAGACTTCTGTCCCCCTTCTGATCGTTTTTTAAAGCTCGCAAACAAGGCTGGCGCGCAAGGTGTCAACTCACAGGTATAAAAATCACAGCAGGTGTTTCCCCAGGTATTTTCCCCTAGACACGACCTGGTCATACCTACCTCTTAACTGACCTGGGCCAAGGTTCACCTGCAAATAAATGGCCATCTCACTTTTTTTTTCAGTTTCGTTTTTTTTAAAGTTTAAAATGTGCGAAAACTTGCTTTTAAAAAATGCAGACAAGATAACTCTAGATGGCTAGATAGAAGCGGGGCTGTATTCATCTTCACTTGAGTTAAGTTTCCCTAAAATTTTATCTGATTTAAATCACATTTGTGATGCTAAAGAAAGAGCTTAAGAACTACAACAAAATTCAGTGCTGATTTAATAAAGTACTTGGCAAACCAGTTTTTGCTTTACTACTCTCTCTAGTGGTTTTTTTTTCGTTGATGCTAATCATGGAGAGATAAGTAAAATATATTAAACTTATGAAGGAGTCGGTAGAGGGGTGGTGGTGCGGGGTGGGGGTGTGGGGGGCGGGGGGGGGGGGGTAGCAGCAGCAGGATTACGTTACCCCCACCAAAAGTTACTGTACCTAGACCGGCATTGACAATTTCATCATTGCCAACTTTCAACCTTCCAACCACAATAGTATCACACGACATGTAAACATCGTTGCAACCTTTCAACTTTCCAACCGTTATGCTTATTCATGCGTATTTTACAAAACTTAAGTTTTACCACATATGTGACCTTCACTTTTGTTTTTATAAAAGCCGGTCAATGACCTCTGGTGTAAATCTGTGCTAGCTGCTACACCAACTGAGACGCGATACGCTTCAAGCTTTAAAAACCCAGGTCTAAAAAACTTCGATGGCTATCCTCTAATAATGGACACCCCATCCCTCACTGATGGCTATCTATGTCCCCGGGGGTGGACTGGCTGTGTCTGAGAGGCCCGGGAAATGTTTAGGGTCCCCCAATCCCAGATTGAAATTTTCACTGTGCATTTTTTTTTTCAATGAAAACCTGAATTTTACGCAAGGTATGAAAGAATGGAAATGGTAAAATGGAGATATATCAAAAGAAATTTTTTTAAACTGAAAACAATAATAGGACTATCAAGGCACCGTTCCCAGGGGCCCACCGAGATTTTAATTTTTGGGGGTGGGAGGGGCTACCTGAATTTTTTGGCCAGTCCTCCCCCCCCCCCCCCCCCCGAAGCACGTCTACCGTCCCGTCCCCATAACGAAATTGAATTTATGTTGAATATATACATAAATATTTACCGTGTCCGCCCCCCCCCTCCGGAAAATTTAGTCCGCCGAATAATTTTAAGTGCCCTTCACCACCCCCCCCCCTCCCCCCCCCCACCCCGTAGAATTAAGTCTGAAAGAAACACTGCCCCTGTCTATCCCAGACTATCGAGATCACACACCCCCTTTAGCCATCAGATGCATATCACTGAAAAAGAATTCACTCGTAGTTTGAAATTATTATGCATGGCTTATACAAATAAAAGCAAAACAAAATTCGATTAGGTTTAGTAGATGCAATACATTTTAAGCCAACAGAACCCCAGTTAGCGTGTATTTCGTTTCTTTACATATGTCAGAATTTTATTTGTTTCGCTTTAGGGCAACCTGTTTTCTACTAGCCTAAAATGTTGCCTTTTGAAGTAGACGTTAGTACCAGAAGGTTAAAGGTTACACATATGTTGATGATTTTAAGCACTCGGTTCATGTTAGTGTTCAAACTTAAATGTTGACACGTAATTTTTTTTTTCTAGTAGACGAGTTTGGGTTTAAACCTGGTGTGATCAGTAGCGAACAAAAAATGGCTAATCTCGTAACTAGGAGCAGAGTTTCTTCCAGGCAACTGTTTGGTGGTGGTGGGGGGGGGGGGGGGGTGGACAGACACACAATTCTCCCCACCCCCCTCTGAAGAAAGTCTACCTCCCCCTCCTCGAAATAAATGTAATTTATATAGAGAATAATAATATATACTATCCGACCCCCCGCCCCTCCTCCGGAAATTTCAAGAAAAAAGAAAAAAAGTATGGAAGAAACACTGACTAGGATATTGAATAAAAAAACCTCTTGAACACATTTCACAACCTTTACTTACAGCGTGTTGTAAAAAAAAAAATAAGAGTCGAGCGTGGGAATCCGTCACATTTTCTGCGTCCCGTGTTAGGTGTCCGGAATTGTGTATCAGGTTAATTATGTTCGTGTTGCCTCACGGCGGAACACACGTCTTAATGTCTGATATGGTCACGTTCCATCGAACTAGATTCCTAACGTCTGATACGATTCTACTAGACACGTCCTAGCAGTGGCGTAGCCAGGATCGTCTCAAGGGGGGGGTCCAATTTTTACCCGGGGACAAACTTTCGATTTGCACCCCCCCCCCCTCAAACTTTCGATTTGCACCCCCCCCCCTCAAACTTTCGATTTGCACCCCCCCCCCCTCAAACTTTCGATTTGCACCCCCCCCCCCCTCAAACTTTCGATTTGCACCCCCCCCCCTCAAACTTTCGATTTGCACCCCCCCCCCCCTCATACTTTTTCTATATACCGAGGGGTCTATGGGGGGGGGTTATGACCCCCCCTAACCCCCCCCTGCCTACGCCACTGCGTCCTAGACACTGGCATAGAGCCAGTTTGGACAATGCTACAATACTTTACTGAGGTCAAATCGACTGTTGGGTGGGGAGGGGGGGGGGGGTTGTCGGCAAAACTTGTAGCTCAGTTTTGACATAATTCTGTTTTTATAACTTTTTAGATAACAATGCAAGAATATATAATTTTACTGAAATTAAATATTGCATTAGTCATTAATAAAATATTTTATCGAATAACGAAAGTTTTATAAACATATTTTTAAATTAAAATGAGAAAATAAAGCTAACTGTATTTAGATATTATTTTAAATCCTATTGTAAGCCTTCGTCACTCTAATATTTTAAAGAGATTTCAGCGTTGGAGAGGCAGACATGAACAGTGCCAGCCACTATTGTGTTGAGTAATTTTTTCTCTCCCCTCCCCCCCCCCCCCACCACCAAGTGAATTTAGGTCAGGATATTCCCAGTGGTTTGTTTACCCAGCATTAGCGAGTTTATTGACTCGTGTTGATACAAGGACTGCGGGCCAGTTGTGGCCTGCACACGGAATGTCGTGAGGAGGGCTTGTATCAATGTGGGGGTTGGGTGGATGGGGGGGGGGTCCATAACTGACTTCACACACACCTAGAAATAGAGAGTGAAGGGTTTCAACTGGTGCTGATGCGAGTAAGTTGTAATGGGTAGGGGTATTTGTGTTGAGGGAATACATTTTATACTTTTTAAATATTAAAATGATAACCGACAACAAACCTTTGCTGTAATTATTGTTATTTGATGGATAGAAAAAGGGAAAGGGGTGGATTTGGAATTTACTGTGGCGTCGTTTTTATCGATATTCGGCAATTGGTGATGATACTTATTACATGAAGCAAAAACTTGACTCAATAGATTGTACAATAATCTTTTTGTTAACTTTATAGAAACAAATGTGTTTGTAAACAAATAAAGTAAAGCGATTTTTGTTGAGTGCTAATATGTTCCCCTTCATTAAAAAAAAAAACAAGTTGTGATCTCATCTAGATCTATCCCCTCCCCCTTTATAAAGAGATAGCCTGGTTAAGGATTCTACTTTATGAAAACGTATCCTTAACCTCAGCCATAGACGAATAATAAGTTCTCTGGCACTGCAATAGGCTACATAATAGTAAAGATGTTGTTTTTTTTTCCGCGGAGATCGCTGTTAATAATTATTGGTAGTTGAAAAATAACAAAGTCGACCACCCCTAAATAAAAATCTGAACGTAAACATAAATAAAATCAGCTGTAGGCCATTGAAAACTCTCGTTAAAAACACGTTTGCTCCCCTATTCTCGCGCCTGCGATATCAGCTAATGTCATCTTAGTTCAAAATTCCCTATCCCTAAGTCCCCGGCCTCTCTCACCTGACGACAACAAGCCATCACAGATGGTAGCGGATAACACGTAGATACGCTGAGATCCACACAGATACGCGGACATCCGCGCAGATAAACGTCCAAGTCCTCAGATAGACGGGCTAAGCGTGTCCCCTCCTATCTCCTGACTGAATCTGTCGCGACAAAAAATAATTTAAAATTGGAGGCTCGATGCGACACGAACTGTGTAAATATTGACAGAAAACGGGAATAGTTGTAACAACTGAAGATGAGACGGTTTTTTTTTAAGTGACGGTCGAAGTTTGGCTGGTTGATATTTTTATAACGGTTAAAGTTTGGCTGGGTGACTTTCTTGAAACGCTAGTTGTGAAGTCCTTGTCTTATGCTGGATGTACTCAAGATCCCCCCCCCCTCCCCGTTCAATCCATATCTTCCCCTACCCCCACCACATTAATACTTTATCCGCCAACTGTTATTTACGGTATTATAATTCTAATTAGTCGACCAGTTTAACGAAATGTAGTAATATAGAAGTAATAAACCATTATAACAAAGATTGTTGTTTTTTTCTATCTCTAGAATGCACTGCCTTCAATTTACTTTGCTTCTTACGATATCCTATTCTTCTTGTTACAAACATGTTATTTTTTTTAACCATGCAGAAATTTTTAAACTATTTGTAGGCTACATAAGGTTATATCTTTAAATGTTACATTTCAGGCGAAAAAAAAAAATATTTGCCGTTGATAAAACAAGAGTCGGCTATAGTGGGAGACATACCTGTCACCTGTAGAGGACAGACGTAAGCCTGCTGTAACATCCGACAGGTAAAAATAAAGTAGCTAATTAAGTTTGTAATTAAAATAAAGTTCACATTCTGTAGGTTGTGGTAAGGGAATTTTAATGTAAAAGAAAAAACAAGTGAATCGTCTCTGTCAAGTCCTTCCAACACTTTTTTGTTTGTTTAAATGTTATAACAAGCAGAGGCATGAAACATTTGACTTAAATATTCAACAAACACGGGAAAAAAATAAACAATTCCCATCTATATTCAACAAACATTGAAAAAATAAACAATTCACATCTATATTCAACAAACATTAAAAAAATAAACAATTCACATCTATATTCAACAAACATTCAAAAAATAAACAATTCACATCTATATTAACAAACATTGAAAAAATAAACAATTCGCATCTATATTCAACAAACATTGAAAAAATAAACAATTCACATATATATTCAACAAACATTAAAAAAATAAACAATTCACATCTATATTCAACAAACATTCAAAAAATGAACAATTCACATCTATATTCAACAAACATTCAAAAAATAAACAATTCACATCTATATTCAACAAACATTCAAAAAATAAACAATTCACATCTATATTCAACAAACATTCAAAAAACTCTGTCAATCCATACACACTGGATTTCTTTCAGACGTATTTCTAGGAGAGAGAGAGAGGGGGGGGGGGATACTTGAATTTAAAAATTCCACCTTTGTGTGGGGCGAGGGGGGGGGGGGGTTCACGAGTTAAATTATGTATTTTTAATTTTTCTAATTACATTTTTTTTCCTACCTCGTCTGAGATGCCTCATAAACCCTGCATACAAACACGTCACACACGAACCATTACCCAGTCATCCACTAAGCCAAATATCTATTGAACATAAATCATTAACAGCTCGGACCAAACACCAGGTTGACATTCAACCAAACAATTAACTTAATTACCGTGTCTCATTATGTTAATTATTTACACATTCTGGTCATGCAAACGCCGAAATCATTTCTTGTAATCATCACAAAGTTTGTGAATAGCTCCAAAACAACCACTTTCAACCACATAATTCTACGTATAGATCATATTTTAAAATGTCTATAAATGATAGGCCTATATTTGGACATTTAAAAATGAACTAGGCCGTCGTTGTTTTCATGTTGTTTTTTTTTTTTCTACATAAAAATCTCTAAACAAACATCCCTTTCTCCTGAGAAAGTCACGGTATTTTTGTGTCATGCTTATTTTAGATCGGGGTTTTCCGTCTAGCTAACTAAACAAAGTGTGCCTTGATTTGATTTTACTTGCTGCCCCCCCCCCCCCAATTAGGAAAGGTCGAGGGCGATTTTTACCAGGCACTATCGCTTAACGGCATTTATGTTGTTGTCACACAATCAGTGGCGTAGCCAGGATCGTCTAATGGGGGGGGGGGGGGGGGGGGTCAATTTTTTTCCCCGCATTATAAATGTATATCAGAGGCGAAGCGTCCCTCCCCGGCCCCCGAGTACAAACTTTTGATTTGCACCCCCCTCTCAAACTTTTCATTTGCACCCCCCTCAAGACTTTCGATTTTGTACCCCCCGCTCAACCTTTATGTATCTACCGAGGGGTCTATAGGGGGGGGGGGGGTTCTGACCCCCCCTAACCCTCCTGCCTACGCCACTGCACTCAATTGATGTTGAAAACAGTTACATAAGCCTGTAAGGTTAAGTTACAGTATTTTACCTTCGACGTTGGATAATTAAGTAACGTAGCTCAAAATGAGCTTTTTAAAAATAAAAATTCCTACCGCGTTCGACGCCCCCCCCCCCTTCTTAGGTTGGCGCCCAGGGGCGGCCGCCCCATCCGCCCTCCCCTAGCTACGCCTCTGGAATCAGGTAATGTTTAATGTGACGCAAACTACCAACTCTTAACACCAACACTCGTGTGATCTACATGAACACACGCCCTTGTGTTTCCTGTGCTAGTGCGCATGTCTAGACCAGGGCTATTCTTGACCAGACAGCACGCGTCGTTGTTTAGATTGTCCAGTGTAAGACATTCGTCCAACTTGCCGAGTTTGTTGTCTTATATGGGCCTGTTTGAACGGTGTCATGGAAGGAATGTCCAGTTCTCGGTCCAGTTTAAAAAAAACGTCCGACATTGGACAAATACAAAGACTGAAGCTCATACATGAGGGTCTGACAGATATTGGTCGGAACATTAACATGCGTTATTTTATATGTAATGGATGGATGTGTGTGTTTAGTATAAAAAAATAAAGGATCTTTTTCCAGATGAGCCCCGCCAAAAAAATGTAACCCACCGCCACACAAAAAAAAGATTAGAACAAAAGAGGATATGAAACTTTTATTTGTAGCTTTTAACCCTAACCCTTATCCTAACCTTAAACCTAATCTTAACTCTAATCCTAACCTTAACTCTAATGCTAGAGGTGTTTTATGGCGTGTATATATTCAAAGGTGTAGACATCAGAATGTAGCTGGCATTAAAAAGGTGGGACTCAACATTTTGCATTAGTGGCTGGACTTATCTGGATAAGATCCAAAACAACTATAAAACTTTAGTTTGTATACTATATGCAGTGTTAATACATCAATCATCATGTTTTTTCTTGGGGATTTTCAGAAGCACTGGGGGAAATTCATGGCCCATTATGTGATCAACATAATGATTAATGTGGGCCATATGCAAGCATAATATTAAGTCGAGGGACATAGGCAAAATTTAGGGGCCTGAGCAATGTTCCCTCTAAGATGCGCGGGTCTGAGCATGCCGCGCTATTATTTTATAAAAGAAATAGGCCTGTATCCTAATACTTATATCAGACTTATCGAACAGCGTGCACACTAAATACACGCTGCACACTAGCATTTAATTTTTGTCTTTATAGGGAACGTTGGGCCGATATATGCAGGTTTAACGACTTATATTAGGGTGCAAAAGATCCATACTTTGAAAAAAAAAGCATAAATTAATAATTTAACATGTATGCATAAAAAGGCTTTACTTTAAGAGTTGATTATAGAGCTCTAACACACTTCACAGACGTAGAGCTAGTTATTCAGTCTTACAACAAATCTACCAACGTATTGAATGAGCTAAATTTCAAACCGGTCATTTCCCCCACACAACGCCCGCGCGCTATGCACAGAATTCTGGGAGGAATGTTGACCACCCAATCCCTGAGCAACCCAGGAGCTGGATTATGACCCCATGTCCAAGCGTTATCCGTCAACAGGTTTGTTTACTGCTGGTCAGATAAGGCGGGGGTTTAATCAGGCTTCAGCGGTTCTCATGTTGTTAGTTGTGGAACAGCGACTAATGTAAGATGTGGGCCTGTGGCTCCCTTCTTGTGAGATGTTGTCCAGTGACTCTAATGTTGTGAAATGTGAGGCTCTGACTCTCATGTTGTGAAATAAGGGCCACTGACTCTCATGTAGTGAGATGAGTATTTGGCCAGTGACTCTCAAGTTGATACATGTTGTCCAGTAAATTAGGTTGTTAGATGTGGGCCAGTGACTCATAACATGTTTGCCACTGACTCTCTTGTTGTTAGATGAGTACAGAGTTTCTTCTAGGCATCTCTTCGGTTGGGGGGGGGGGGGGGGAGGGGAAGTTTACCGCCCCCCGAACAAAATGGAATTTATATAGAAAATACGTTTCAACAGTGTCCGCCCCCCCCCCCCCCCCGGAGAAAAAAGTCTGGAAGAAACACTGGATGAGTATTTGGCCAGTGACTCTCATATTATTAGATGTGGACGAGTGACTCTTATGTTGTGGGATGTAGTCCAGTTGCTCTCATATTCTGTTAGATGAGTACAGAGTTACTTCCAGGCATCTCTTCGGGGGTGGGGGGAAGTCTACCGCCCCACGAACAAAATGGAATTTATATAGAAAATATATACTTTTAACAGTGTCCGCCCCCCCCCCCCCCACATTTTTTTAATATGTTGGCCAGTGACTCTCATCTTAGATGCGTATTGAGCCACTGACTCTCATGTTAGATTTTGTCCAGTGACTCTGATGTTGGTGTCGGTGACCAGTGACTCTCATACTGTGAAATGTTGGCCAGTGACTCTCATGTTGTTAGATATTGACCAGTGATTCTCATGTTGTTAGAAGTACCGTGAACCGTTATCTACCGCATACAAGAATGTACCCTCCGCCAACGGATCTCTCGTTGATGCGGTCGACCAGTGGCTAATGACCTTGATGATAAGGCAGCTCACTGTGAGGAAAAGGGAAGATAACTCCAGCAGGCCTCGAGGACAAGGGCAGATAACTCCGATAAACGACTTCCGCAGTGGTGGGGGTTATGGCAGCCTGAACGTGGCCAACGCTGGGTGTAGGGGTATGGCCACTCATGGCCCTGTGTGTGTGGGGTGGGGGGGGGGGGCGCTACAGACATGTATCAGATAGATCTAGAAGATATTGGGGGGGGATATCTACCAAATAGAAAGCGTGGGAGTCGTGTACAGCAGACACGTAGCAAATAGAAAACGAGTGTGGCTAAAACCAAGTTGAAGAAATTAACGGGGGGGGGGGGGGGGTGGTAATACAAAGATAAGCCCGATATTCAATATTCATTAAATGGTCTTTTCTTGTTTATATGCTATACTACGGTCTAAAGTCTAAAATTTTAAAATTTGTCTACATGCCCTAAATTCATAGTTGTCTAAAAATAAAGATGCCGTGTTAAGTTTTTAAGACTCCAAATTTCTTTATCTTCTCGGTTCTCCGCTGGGGCGATCTGACTTGTACAGACTTTCTTAACCCGCTCCACCCACACGTCTCTCCCATAAATCTACCCATGGACCCTTTCACCCTGTAACTCTACCCATGGACCCACTCCCCCTGTAACTCTACCCATGGACCCTCCCACCCTGTAACTCTACCAGCGTGTATCACGGCTCACACTTCCAGCCTGTCCCAAGTTCACGTGCTTAACAAGTGCTCACTGGCCCGCCTACAAAACACTCCCAGATGTGCCGCGTCTGTCTTTAAAGTACAATTTCTAACGTCCTTGTAATTTTCGCTTACTATATCATATACACAGAGTTTCTTCCAGGCATCTCTTCGGACAGGCTCCGCCCCCCCACCCCCCTCCCCCCCCTCCCCCCCGAACGAAATGGAATTTATATAGAAAACATACTTTTACCAGTGTCCCCCCCCCCCCAGAGAGTTGTCCCCCCCCCTCCCCACGAAAATATGTTGGTGGTTATAAGTGGTTTTTAAAAAGAGTTAATGATGATCAGTTAAATTAATGTCCTTGATTTTCTTGCAGTTGGTCATGGCTACAAGGCCTAGGGGATACGGACTTACAGGGGAGATAAGCAGAAAGGTAAGTATTTATGAGTATGACACGATTACCTTCCTTATTATCATAATTTTTATTATGTAATTTATATATATATATTTAATGTGTGTGTATTTTTAATAACAATTTTTGCTAAGAAAAATCTTTTTTTTTCTATAACATTTAAAATTCTAAACATCACGAGCCTACTTAAGCCCATAGCTGTAATTTATGTAAAACATTTTTTTTTTATTTGGGGTTACATGGGGGTTAGCAAAACACCACTCTCTGCCACTGTCTAGTCATCATGGGGCTCCATAGAAGGGGAGTTTCAATACCCCTGACAGTGGTTAGCACAAGTCTAGTCATTCTACCCCTAGTGTTTCCCTTCTGAGCTGGTGCGACCTGAGATAAATGATTGATTGATGTTTTCTCCCATAGATAACCAGCAAGTATGATGTAGGTTGATATATGATTGATGTTTTCTCCTGTAGATAGCCAGCAAGTATGATGTAGGGCTGGAACAGGAGGCCAGACTGTGGATGGAGGCAGTGTTAGGGGAACCTCTTGCAGTAAGTTTTTGTGTACCCAGCATTCTAGTACTAACATAACAATTGTTATTTTATGTAATAGTTATGTGAACCCCACGTAGTAGGACATTTTTAAAATGCCTTCTGGTACTAACATAACAATTGTATTTTATGTATTAGTAATATGTGAACCCCTCGCAGCAAGACATTTTTCAATCTGCCTTCTGGTAATAACATAACGATTAGTAAAGTAAACTTCCTTTTTTTAAACCTGATGGTCCACGATTGTTTCTGATTTATTAGTTAGGTAAACCCCTCTCTGTAGGCCATTTTTGTACAGAAAAAAAAATTATTTTTGACACCTTTCATTACATCAGGGATATAAACAAAACAATTGTTTTGACACAGAATTCTTGTTTTTGACATGAGAATCCAGTTAAGTTAGACATTTTTTTTTCTCAATTTAGATCTATATACACAATTTGACATACACTTTTCCAAAAATAATTGGTAAATGATTTTTTTTTAAAGGGTTTTTAAAAAAATATGTTTATCTTAATTGGTTTTGCTAATTTGTCACATTACTGTGTAATTACCCCATTACTCTATGAAATATCCCCATTACTTTTACATAATCGCCCCATTATTGTATGTAATTTCCCCATTACTCTATGTAATTTCCCCTTTATTCTATGTCATTGTCCCATTACTCTGTATCAATGCTCCTAATTGACTAGCTGTTATCTCCCATGTCATGACAGCCAGATGAAGACAGCAGTGTACCATTAGGGATGGACAAGTTCCAGGCCGTGTTGAAGGATGGTGTCACTTTATGCAAGTAGGTTGGGTACATCGGTTAAAGTTTTACATTTAAATATTTTTATTTTTTTTAAGTTTTGTAATCCCAAATAAGGATGGTGTCATTTTATGCAAGTAGGTTCCTTACATCGGCTAAAGGTTTACATTTTAAAAAAATTTATTTTTTTTAAAGTTTTGTAATCCCAAAATAAGGATGGTGTCATTTTATGCAAGTAGGTTGGGTACATTGTCTAAAGTTTTTTTAAATTTATTTTTTTAAAGGTTTTGTAATCCCAAATAAGGATGGTGTCATTTTATGCAAGTAGGTTGGGTACATTGTCTAAAGTTTTTTTAAATTTATTTTTTTAAAGGTTTTGTAATCCCAAATAAGGATGGTGTCATTTTATGCTAGTAGGTTGGGTACATTGGCTAAAGATTTTAAAAATTTTTTTTTTTAAAGGTTTATAATCCCAAATAAGGATGGTGTCATTTTATGCTAGTAGGTTGGGTACATTGGCTAAAGATTTACATTTTAAAATTTTATATTTTTAAAGGTTTTGTAATCCCAAATAAGGATGGTGTCATTTTATGCTAGTAGGTTGGGTACATTGGCTTAAGATTTACATTTTAAAAAGTTTTTTTTTTTAAAGGTTTTGTAATCTTAAATAAGGATGGTGTGGTCGAATGGTAGAACATTAGTCAGCTACCCTGAAGGTTTTAAGTTTGGATCTTGGTTTGGACTCTTTGACTGCATGACGTCCCTGAGTCCACTCAGCTTTACGGAAAGAAACGCAGCACTATTCCCTACATATTCCAAGATCCAATACTTCTGCCCCATGTGGGCAAAAAAGCAAGGAAAAATAATATTCATATGTCTTTAAATAATCTTTTTAATCAGGTCTAGTTTTTCACAGTTCACTTAAAGTAGAATTCATTTTCATCTTTCAGCACTGGTAATAAACTAATATGTTCAGCTGTATGCCTTGCCACTATTAGGTTAGCCTGTTGTTCTCCTGGGACATAAGCCACTGACATGAGCTTTCCAGGCATCTTTGTCAGTGTTTCTTCCAGACTTTTTTCTCCGGGGGGGGGGGGGGGGGCGGACACTGTTAAAAGTATATATTTTCTATATAAATTATATAAATTTCGTTCGGGGGGGGGGGGGGGGGGGGGGGTAAAACTTTTTTGGAGAGATGCCTGGAAGAAATGGAAGAAACTCTGATCTCTGTTCTGTGCTAGTCTCTCCAACTGTCCCCAGGTGTATTCAATCTTCTTGGTGTCTTCTCCCAGGTCCACTCTCAGGTCTTTCTTGCTGTGCTTCTCTTCCTTTCGCCCTATGGATTCCAGGTGAGGGCCTGTCTGGTTATGCTGGATACATGCTTCCTAAGTGTATGGCCAATCCATCTCCATTTTCTCTGGAGGATCTATTCTTCATCTGGCAGTTGATTTGTTCATTGCCCTTGTACCTCATTTCCGATGGTTTTAGGCCATCAAATTTGCTTGACACTGTTGCTCTCCCCAAAATGTCATTGTTACATGTTACTGCTCTTAGATATCTTTTGGACAGCATTGTGGTCAGTCAACTGACCTCTTGACCAAGTCCTCACTTTTTCCTGTTTAAATTATTTAATTATATTTTCCAGACTAATCAACAAGATCAAACCAGGGTCAATGACCAAAAAAGTAAACACGTCCAAGAAAATGCCTTTCCTACAGATGGAGAATGTCAGCAACTTCCTTGAAGCGTGTGAAAAATTAGGCGTGTCCAAAACTGACCTGTTTCAAACTGTAGATCTGTATGATAAAATGAATATGGTCCAAGTAGTCAATTGTATCTTTGCTCTGGGTAGAAAGGTCAGTTATGTGGAATTTTTTCTTACCAATAGTACACCACCATTTTATTCATAAGTTTTTTTTAATCCATTTTTTTTTATTTCTTCAATTAATTTTTCAGCTACATTGATGTGAACTTTTAAGTTTTTAAAATATCAAAATACAATTATTTTAATTTAAAGTAAAATATCTTTCAAAATTGATGGCCTCTACAACTAATTGAAATCTTTCGTTCAGTAAACATCAAATATAATAAAATAATTTAAACATTTAATTAATATCTTGAATGTTTTAAATCAAATTAAAACAAAATTATTTTTGGAGGTAATATAACGCTTAGCCCTGATGGCTTTTAAATTAACAGAAAATCAGTTTTTGTATAACTACACTAGTATTGTATGGCAAGTGCAAAAATATTAAATCAGGTACCCAGTATAGCTGGATATGTTTGAGTCAAAAAAGATAATAATCATAGAGATTAGCAGTCATATTTTCTCATAGAAACAATGAATATTACATTGCAACTTTGATGATATTCAAAGCAGCCATTATGAAAAGGCCTTACAACTACTGGGTAGACTTGAAACAAAACCGTTCTTGACATTGTGATCACTACCGTAATCCTTCTGATCTTCTTTTCATGAACAGTCACGATGCCAATAATAAGAAATTTAGAAAAAAAATTCTGTAAATGTTTGATTAAACTGCAAGAACTTGAATATTTCTAACATTTTGATAAATAATTTCCCAGGCACAAAAAGTGGGTTATGACGGCCCAGCATTAGGAGCCAAAGAGGCAGAACAGAACCCCCGTAACTTCAGCCCCGAGACACTGAACGCTGGTCAGTCTGTCATTGGGCTTCAGATGGGCTCAAACAAAGGGGCTTCACAGGCAGGCATGAGCTTTGGCAGGTCCAGGAGTATAAACGAGCATGGGATAAATGGTAAAGGTTAACTCAAGCATGGAAGATGTAGACATGTGTTATTTATGGAAATTTGGATGATTTTGATTCTTTTAATGAAGTAACTTATTTTAGAGTGGAAATGTATGTTTTAAAATATTTTGGACTAAATATAAAAAAAAAAGTGAAAATTCTGTGAAACTAAAAATGGGAATCAAATTTTAAAAATCAAATCTGTGTTTAAAAATATATTTACAAAAAATAATTCTAATGGTTTATGTTTTTAAAAAAAGTATTAAATTGTAACTACTTAAATTATAGAGGATGAATGAGAATTGTGTAACATATATATCTGATCTAGTTATTTACTTGGATTATTAGTTTTAGATGAATACAGTTTTTCTTTTTTTTTTTTTTAGAATAATTAAATTACATGCTCTTACAATGTTAGTTTTGTTACATAATGGTGAAAAAAAAAACAGCTGTTTAAAAAATTGACTGGCTTCTTTATCTGCCCTGCATGACTGGGATAAATCTAAATTGTCATTTAGTTCTGTCAAGGAAATCTGAAGTCCATAATTGAGTTGGCCCAATTTATTCTGCGGACCAAGTTTGATCTAATTAAAAAAATGACCCGCTTAATTCATCTAATACTAGACAGTTAAACCATTGTTTAAATAACTTTTGTATATACACATGATTTATGGAGCTAATTGTTGATACCTTAATTCTTCCTCAGATCAACCTGAAAATAATGTTGATTAGAATCTTAAATAATTTTAATATCAGATTAGTGAAAAATAGAGAACATGTTGTAATAAGTATTAATTTTTTTAAATGTAGAGCTAATAATAAACAGTTTAAGAAACTGATGTTATTTATCAAAAGAAGTGCAACAAATTTCTAGTGCATAAATTAATATCTAAACTTAGTTAAACATATTTTTTAGAAAATTATTTAAAAGCATTTATTACAAGTAACATTTGTTATTAATTTTCTATAAACTAGGACTTTTTTTTTAAAGAATTAAACCCACAAAGTACATTTTTAATAATAATAATAAAAGTAGCCATTTTATTTCTAGAGAATAATCATAGTTTAATTACTATAAGTAATTAATCATTACCATCACAATACATCTTTGTGTATATTACCTTTGTTTGCGACCCATCTAAATAAATATTAAAGCCTCTACCAGTTTGAATTAGAACATACACAAATCTCTTCCTAGTTTTTATTTTACCCAGCATGGCAACATACTTTTGGGCAGCTTATTAAACACGCAGAATATCATTGCTTTACCTGCTAATTTTTTTTCTTTTCTTCTTGTATATCATTGAATGCCTATTTTATTATATTTCTATTAATAACCTGTATAGGAAATTTTAAAAAATAACAAGAATTTGTATGAAATAAGACTACATTTTTTTTATTCACAGATATTCACATTTCTCATACCCCCAGCATTATTTGTTAATCACACATTTGTTTATTGAAATGTTATTTTTATTTATTCTTGAGATGACACATTATTTTTTGCTTCATTGTATGACAACATTTACAGCCAATTAGCATCTTGCTGCCCGCACAGTGTTGGATATGGGAGACGAGAGGTTCTGTTTAACAGTTTTTTGTGTGATTGTAATGTTGTCCGATGATTAATGGATGGTTATTGCACTGATATGGGACATGTGACAGATAACAGAAGACAGTGCTGTTTCATCCAGAACTTACATAGTTATTAGTTTAGTCCATCAAATTGAAAGAAAAAACAAGTATTATTAAAAACTTTATGAAATGTACAGAAAATATGAAGAATTTGCAAGTCAAATTTATTTGGTGTATTTATTTCCTAAGGTGTATGTTGATGTTTTAAAACAAGATTTTCATTATTTGACTAATACATTTAAACTTTTTTTTTTCATTTTTTTTTATTTCAAATCAAAAACAGAAATTTAATGTTCAAAAATTTAGATTTTAGTTTTAAATTATTTTTTAACTGTCGAGAATGTCATTAAAATATATCTTGTAAACTATTGACCGACTAAAAGGGTATCTCTGCATGTATGTACATCTTACATTGTGTGAAATATACAGAACTGGGTGACCAAATATCTGTTATAACATAATGTACTAGTTCTGTTTCATTCTTATTATAAGTAGCATAAACATAGAACATATGAAGTGGAAATTTTGATGACAGTTTAATTCACCACCTGGAAGTTTAAAATGAAAGCAGTTTCAAGCCATTTCAGACGAGCATAGAATCTTTAACCTGGAGTACATTGCCCTCTCAGCTGTTTGCATCATTTGAGGAAAAAGCTGGTTACTGTATGCTGGTGTACTACTGACTTTTAACAGAAGGAAGCTGTTAGCCACTCAATATAGAAATTAAGTGGGGGCTTTGTTTCAGGGTTAAGGGGCGTAAACAGCCCAGAGATCATTGTCTTTACTCCATCAAAATGTGAGGCAAGAGTTATCTCCCTGCAGACTTAGACTACATGGAGATGACAAGAAAATATATTACAACTTAATAACATTAAAGCCAACGCTACTTAAAATAATCTACTCTGTAATTTCGTTTGTGAGAAGATTTAACTACTTATCAGCGTAATATATATTTCATGTTTGTTAACAAATTCTGTAGTTATTTAGAAAATGAGAGTCCGTTGTCTTTTCACTATACAACTTTTTACTAATTATTGGGCTTATAGATATTTATTTTAGATAAGTAACTTAAAATTGTTAATTCACATTACTTTAATGCTTGCAGTATTAGAAATATAGCTGCATTATATTTTTTTTTCTTTAGTAGAACTTTAGAACATTTTTTTTGCTGACAAATTATTTGGGTTATATTTCATCATGGGCTTTTTTATACTAACCATTCAATAATTTTAGGGAAATCTTTTAGTTTAGGCTTCACTTCCTTTCTGCATAGCCCATGTAATCACACACCTAATTTTTGATGAACTGTGAAACAAGGTAAATTCCATTTCGACTTTTTAACAAACTTTTTTTTTTCAATTTTCTGTTCTAAACTTGTTTTAAAAAAATGTTATGTCGGTACATGGTCTTACCAGTTTAATACAATTATATATGAACTCTGTAGGGTGTTTTTAACCCTTTCCCCGGCAACATATTTGGTACCCTGTCCCCGGCAACTGGGTGGATCACACCCAAAGACTTTCTTATAGTAAATTCTTTTCTTTGTTCATTGTGGGGTGGGTAACAATACTGACACAGTTGAGGTATTCAGGGCACAGAGGCTATGGGGAACACAAGACATGTTGTTGTCAATGGGAGAGCTGTAATATGATACTAGTGGTTGATGGGATTCTCAAGCAAGAGTTAACCTGTGGGTGGACACATGTAGTGATTTATACTCTTTGCTTGAGCTCTGACTTGCAGTTACAGACAGAACTGTAGTTTAGAGTTACAATAGGTTAATCAAATGCATGGGTAAGATTGCTTGTGGGAGGACATATATAGTGATTTGTACTCTTTTAGGGAGCTCTGGAATGTAGATAGAGACATTCGAGCCTTTTAGAGTAACTTGACATTTACCTCATTAGGAGTACGAATGAAGACAAAAAGGCAAAACAACTTTGTAATGCTGCTTAAAAGTTAATACTGGGCAATTAATTGATCAAACTGGGAGTGGGGTGGGTGTTCTACAGGTTGTGACCCTGAGAGTAAGGTTTATAAATAGTCACAAACGTTATTGAGAACACAACAGAAACAAGTCTTGAACGCTTCTGTCTAAACTCAAGTGCTAATGATAAGGAATATATTTGCCAGTTTTAGTATAGCAGGTGAAAATGACTAACAAGTTTTGAGTCTGAACTATTAGTATCAGAAGTAGAAAATGAAGAATGACAGCCATCAGTATCAAGCAGCTCTGATGACGAGGTCTACCCAATATACTACATTTCAACTATCAATAATGTGTCAACAGTTAGCACTCATAATGAAATGAAACGGCTGGTGCAAAGTGAAGAAAGAGAAATATTTTCAGGAAAGACAAAGTAACAGTACACTAGACCACTGCCTGAAGTGCTAATTCCAGGAAATTTATAAACAGCCTGACCCTAAATATTTCTTCTGTGCATGAATACAAAAAATAATACAACCAATATTTGACTGCATTAGCAGGGATGGAGAGAAAGCAAGAGGAGACACTGGCACTCTGCAGAATAACAATTTAGTTGTATGTCAATTCAGTTCTGCTTATGGAAGTTTTTGAAGGCAGAATTTTCTATGAAGAAATTCAGCAACCTTCTGGGTCATATTCACTTTCACAACAATAACACTAACAATCCATCAGGCTCATGGTATATTTGCTTCCATTATGGTAGATATTCCATTCAAATTTAGAAAGGTGTTATGTTTCTGGAGAGATCATTACTAATTAGCAAGTGGTTGATTTTAGAGGTGGGAGTAGATTTATCCAATATACCAAGCAATTCCGATAAGTATGGAATTAAAATATTTTGGACCTGTAACTCATGTAACACCACTAAAAGGGTGTCCATATTTTATAAAAAAAAAAAAAAAAAACCAAAGTTCCCTGCCAGCAAAAGGAAATGTCCAGTTATTTTAATTTTATCTAACAACTGTGCTCTCTGAGGTGCCAATGATATTTTTGTTACTCAAATACCTTCAGATTGTTAATTTATAGTTAAACTTTGAAAATGTAACACAATGACTTAACCCACAATGAGTAAAAACAAATATTTAGAAGCCAGTTTATAAGTTATAAATATTTTTTCCATTCAAAATTGTGTACGGGTGTGTAGCACCCAGTTGCCAGGGACCGTATAAAAAAATTTCAAACCCTCATAAAAAAATTTTTTACGCATATTTTTATAATTTACAACCTCCAATGTGTTCATCCCAACCACCTTATAGATGGGAATGAGGCCCAGAAAAATTTATAAAACGAGACTCGAGATATGAGCAAAAATATAGCGACTTCGGGTCGATTACACCCAGTCGCCGGGGAAAGGGTTAATCATACAAGAAAAATTGGTTTTAATTGGGTTAATGCTGTAGTTACATGTGTAATCTTAGATCAGTCAGTCAAAGGAAGTGATAGTGTTTATTTAGAAAAAATACATCTCATTCATATTAGTATTTTAATACATACCTGAAAATGAAAATAGACTGCTTAGCTATATTGTAGAAAAATACCTTCACATTCGTTCACGTACTGTTTAACAAACTGTTGTAAAATGGGACCAAATGTATTTTATCTCAAGGGAAGTAATACATCAATGTTCTTGCATAGTTACGTCCCTTGGGTTATGTACTAACCAGAGAAATAAGTGACGGCGACACGACTTGTATGATATTGACTTGTCGCCTATATAGATCTATATGTATATGTTGAACCAAGACAAATATATGCATGATTTTAATCTTTTTTTAATAAACTTATGTGTGCTGTTATCACCTTTGTTTCAATTGTTTTTATATCCTTACAATATCATCATTATCTTCTTAACCAATTGCAATTATTAAAGACATATTTATATTAAAACATTACATCTTTTGACTTCGTTTTTAATGCACTCAACCCCCCCCCCCTCAACATATCAATGTTGTCACAAAAATTGTAGCCAGTTTATTGGCATCTTCAATCATGTGTCCAAAACGCTTTGAACGACCCCCCCCCCCCCCTTCGCTTCCACCAGCGGTTTAATGAAACTAAAGAGCAGTCATTTTTGTTTATATATATATATATATATATATATATATATATATATATATATATATATATATATATATATATATATATATATATATATATATATATATATTTATATATAAGGCATGACTAGCTACTAGTCACATTTCTTTAAACACATTACCCATACAACAGCGCATACAGCCTTTTGTTTTGCACTGACCCTTTAGCGTGTCCACTATAGGGCAATTATCACAAAACATATCTTTTTTAAAACTTCGGAATAAAAATATAAGAGTAAGTGCATGCCACTTTGTCACAACACGTGTTTATGTAAGGGGGGGGGGGGTGGTCGGTCAACCTCAATGTTGCTAAACGGTAAAGTCCTTGACAGATGAGGCTCGATTGCTTTGGACAGCAACTTATGTAGGAGATATAACTCCAAGAAAAACCGCTGCAAATGCACGAAGAAAAACAAGCTGAAATCGGAGTAAACGGCCTATAGCGCGCTAAACAGGTTGACAAAAATACTTCACTGTGGTAAAGGAAATCCAGTTCAACGAAGAGGAAGAATAAAGATTGTTGCTGGTTTGGTTCGATGTTAGTTTCAGTTTTGGATTGAAATCTCGTGTGAATTTGGTGAAGACCACAATGACTCGATAATAATTATGTTATGTACCTCTTGGCTCGAAATAGCGTTCAGAGTTTCGTTCAGGATTCTCTTCAGGTGTGGGGGATGGGGGCAGAGCGCTCCAGATCTCTCACGGCCCTCCCTCTCACCCCCCTTCCCCCGAACGAAATAGAATTTAGTTCGCCCCAGCCGATCATACACTATTCTCAACGACACTGTCGTTGAGTGGCTTATCAACAGTGTCGGTATATAATAACGCTATAGATTTTTTCTCATTTGATTCTGTCGTTGAGACTCTAATTATAGTTATAAACTGTAAAAACTAGCTAACGGAATAAAACCATTTCGATTAATTAATCGCTTAAAATATTTAATATAAGAAAAATTAAACAACCATTCATTTTACAGAGCTAATAATAATTAATATTATAAAAATGCATCTTCTGTCTTTAAAATTGAAAATTAAATTATTTTTAGCAATATAAATTAATACAGTGGATTGCTGAATTTAATTGTGATCATAGTTATGATTAATTTTAGAGATTATATGATTAATTTATACACAATTAGAATTACAGAATATTGATTATTCGGTATAGAAAACATTAGGGTAGAGATTACTAAATGATATAATATAGGATTATGTAATATAGAATATATTAGTATATTATTATAGAATCTAGGCTATACAACAAGTAATACATGATATGATTGCAAAATAGAAAAAATACATAATATAAAGGCCCATTTTGTAATCGAATTTAAGACTCATTTCGTTTACAATATGTTATTACAAATATAAAATTGTAGAATACGTAATAGCTATTTTTATCGAATTTATACATAGAATGTGCTATATAATCTTAAGAACATGATTATGTAGTGGCGTTGGTACAAGGTGTGCCAAGGGGCTATACCCCCCGATTTATATATATATATATATATATATATATATATATATATATATATATATATATATATATATATATACATATTTACTGTACTCAGGTAGTACCCCTAACCAGAGGAGTCACAAGGTAGGGCGGGGCTGAGGACTGCGCAAGGTGGCAAAATTTCGGGGGTGACACCATGGCGAAAAATAGCAAAATATATAGAAGAAGTATGCATTTTGACAGTTCAATAAATGACTAATGAGAGTTAACTGTACTAATAACTGACTGCAGATTAAAAAAAATATACAATTAACTGTGCACGTTTAAAAACTATCACCCAGGGGGGGGGGGGTGAGGGGAGATGACACAAACGGCAAAATGTACAGGTGAATACATGCTTGTTGAATTTTTGGATAACAGATTTGCTAAGCGACGACCGGAGAGAGGCTGATACCAAAATCTAATAATTTATGATGAAAACGATGCTTTTTTTCACATGAATTAATAGGTGGATTAAGTGCAAAATTTGACGCCATTGGGGAAAATGGGAAGTCACCAAATGTAGCTATATATATATATATATATATATATATATATATATATATATATATATATATATATATATATATATATATATATATATATATGCATATGTAGAATCATATATATATATTTCTCTCTATGTATATATATAATGAAGTTTTGCTTGTTTGTTTGTGGGTTTGTTTATGTCCTCTATGCAGCACTACATCTTTCATCCTATGGCCATGCAACTTAAGTTAAGAATACCACTGGATATATTTCACAAGCACGCAGTGTTTCTTCCAGACTTTTTTCTCCGGGGGGGCACTTGAAATCTTCGGGGGGGGCGGTAAACTTTCTTCGGGGGGGCGGACACTGTTAAAAGTATATATTTTCTATATAAATTATATAAATTTCATTTCGTTCGGGGGGGGGGGCGGTAAAAATTTTTCGGGGGGGCTTCGCCCCCCCGAAGAGATGCCTGGAAGAAACTCTGCAAGCACGGTGCCCCAGCAGTGCGCGAATAGATTCTTCCCTATATAGGGTATATATACGAAAAAGTAGATTGCGGTTTAATCCCGTTTATCCGCTCGCCATAAAACTTCAGGGGAGGTTTCAGTAAGAAATTCTTTTTTTTTATTTTAACAGGGCGGCGCTCCTGGAGGGTGCAATTTTTCTCTACACAGTTTGTAAAAAACAAAACGGATGCTGTTTGACATCGTTCATCTGAGTGCCGTTAAACTTTCGAGAGTTAATGAAAACACTCACGAGAAGGTTTCTGCGAAAACAAAAATTAAAATTTGTTATGGGCGTTTCCCTGGAGGGTGCGATTTTTGTTAAGAAACGGCTTGGCGCCCGAAAATCCAGTGCGGCGATATTAAAACTTGAGCCTTCTGCATGGGGGCTAAGGTAAAAAAGCAACAACAGGCGCAGCCGCCGGCGCCCCGGATATTACGTAACCCGAAGCGCCCCGTGCTACCATGTGAACACTATGACGCCTACGTTCGTTTTTTTTTTAATGTAAACACTAAAGACACGATGATCAACAATAATTGTTGACTATATGGAATCAGGCGCGTCTGCCGGCGCCCCGGCAGGATGCGATTTGGCGCCCTGGGATATCCTAAGGTTGTGTTAAAGAGCACTCTACAATATTGACTCTGTGGCACACGACATTCGATGACAATTCGTTTGACCCGGTGCACCCCTGGCTTCGGGAGGAACACTATGAGTTTTAAAAGAGCGCCCTTTTGTCTACTGCACCACTGGCGTGTGGTCTAGCGCATCTGTGTGGGTCCCTCATAAACAGTATTGCGCATACGTTCGTTTTAAAGAGTGCGATACATTATGGATACAATGGGCTACTGTGTGCGGTAGAATTTGCGCCTCAACAACTATGATGAAAGCAATATAACACCGGCTTTGATTACATTTAAATTATTTAGATTTAGAAATCAATGTCAAGCGTAAAAAAATACGTGATTGCTAATGTAATTATGGAATCCTCTTAAAATATTGCGTCAGTCTGTCTTCTGAGACCGCAGCAACGCGCGGGACGGGTACGCTGGTTTAATATAAATTTCTTCTAAATAAATAATTCTCTTCATGGATACCATAGAAAACACCAAGCGGTAAGCGCCCCTAGCAGCCCCCTCTCTTTCTCTCTATCCCTACCACCCCGATCCCTACATGGTCTGGTGAGCTGTGGTTCAAGCTAAATATTTACAATCGTAGAGCCGGGTTTAGTGACAGCTATTTGGGGCAGATAATTTAGTTTGAAACGATTTTAAACTTAGTGGAGGTAACTCAGAGGGGGCTGCTTTCATTGGGGGGGGGGTGTAGGTTTTGTGGGAAAGGAGGGTGGGGAGGGGGATGTTATCGTCCTTAACGAGCTACTGATAGTGTTTTAAAGCAAATATTTTCAGTGGCAGCATTGTTACTGTCGAATTCACAAATTATGAATTACTGAAAAGTAGAACAAGTGAACGCCAAATAAAGATGTGCATAATAGTGCGCAACATTATTAGTACTTTATAAACTTACGTGCGTTTTTTGAGAAATCGGAAATAGCGTAAATTAGTACTTCCTGTCAACGGAAATTACTCAAAATTTGACAGAAGGCAGAGAATTAGATCTTTTACTTACATGTGAAATTTCATTTATATATCTGAAATAGTACTCAAGTTATAGGCTTTTGAAAAATTCAAAGTAGAAAAAGTACCACTTTCGGTTATCGGAAATCGCTCAAAAGTTTATACGGATCTACGATTTTGATAAAATACTTATATATGAAATTTCATCAACCTAGCTGTAACGGTACTCAAGTAATCGTGTTTACACACACACACACACACAGACACACAGACATACGGACAAGATTGCAAAATTATGTTTTTCTGTATCAGTGAGGTGTAAAACGTCGAGATTTGTAAAAAAAAAATCTCGATTTTTTTTGCACGATTACAAGACTTTCTCTATACTTCGTATATACGAGAAAGTAAAAATGCAGTTTCAGGGGAACGGCGGAGGGGGTTATGTGTTGAGGTGTGGTGTTTTTAAAGAGAGTGGTGGTGGGGGGGGGGGGGGGAGCGAAGATCTGGCTTTTTGTGAAAATGTGTTACAATTAGAGAAGGGGGGTTGGGTGCAAAATCGTCTGAAGAGTGAGTCGTCGTTAATGGGTGACCACTTTATGATTGTATATTGACGTCACCATCATTTTGGGCTGTGGCTTTATGTGACGATATGTAACGAGAAAAAAGAGGGTTGAGTTAATGGCGTAGCATTTATTTTGCATTTTTTAAGGATACAAATAATAAAAACACTGCTTATTTTGTTTTACATGTGTGACGACATTTCGTTAAACCAAATGTATTGAATAGTAGGACTTACAGATTATTAGTTCTCCCCCCCCCCCTGAAGCAATTATCCCCTGTCATTTACCCCCCGCCAAGGAGGACATCCCCCCCCCCCCCTCACGGACACACCTCTTAAGGTACAGCTGGGGTTAGGAATAGGGTTATGGTTAGGGTTACGGCTAGGGTTAGGGTTAGCGTTAGGGCTAGGGTTAGAGTTAGGGTTAGCGTTCTGGCCAAGATTAGGATTATGGTTAGGGTTACGGCTAGGGTTAGCGTTAAGGCTAGGGTTAGAGTTAGGGCTAGAGTTAGAGTTTGGGCTAGGGCTAGCGTTCGTGCTAAGGTTAGGGTTATGGTTAGAGTTAGGGTTAGCGTTCGGGCTAAGGTTAGGGTTAGCGTTCGGGCTAAGGTTAGGGTTAGGTTCAGAATTAGAGTTAGTGTTATGGTCAGGGTTAGGATTAAGGCTAGGATTAGGGTTAGTGTTATGTCAAGGTTAGGCTGAGACCTAAGTCTAGAGTTGGTTTTGGTTATGTGTTGAGTTTTAGGCTGAGGTGAATGCTTAGGGTTTGGTAATTTTTTTATCGATTAGGAATAAGGAAATACATAGGTATAGAGTTTGAGTTAGGATCATAACTTGAGGCCGGGGGGGGGGGGGGGATTCTCCAGGGGGGTTATTGACAAGGGGTAATTGCCCCGGGGGGTAAATACGGGAGGGGGGTAATTGACGGGGTGGGGGTAATGTCATGTAGCCAGGTCCACTATTAGAAAGCCAAGATTCCAAACTTTGTAGCCTTATGTATAGGTAATCTAATCTCATACAAGTTCTTGAAAGCAACATCAAAGACGAGAAATAAGAATAGCCATCGTTGTCGGCTTATTTAACAGGGAAGCCTTAATCTAAATCAATCAACGACAATGTCTTTAAGACAATAAACCTTAACTTTGCTTGAAATAACAATATCGTTCTTCATTCAGTCAAACTCAACATTATGGCTTCACTGAACTTTGTCATTGAAATGCATGTGTAGTTTGAAATGTGTGTCTGTTAAAATTGTACAGTTGATACCGAATATATCCAGCCTTTTTCTTCTTCGTTCAGTTGCTTTTCTTTCTGGATTTCTTTTCTTATCTTTTGTCAATCCAAGAACAAGTGTTGTATCCCCAAGATAGGTTGCTATCCCCAACTATAGAGCCTCATCTACACGGGAGATTGAACTCAGGACTTCTCGGTTTAGCAACCACAAACTTTACAAGTTCTTGATTTTGGTATTGGCGTGTCAGTTTTCTTCTTTATTTAGTCGACATCTAAAGTTAAACAAAAACAGTTGCCTACCTCAGCAAAAGTCAATGTAGGCCAATTATGGCCAGTGTAGCAATTAGCAACATCAAAGTTGATTTGGATTCCATGCAACACTCATTCCATACTTCTCTAGTGTGGAGGTCTTTATTATTAATATTATCCTGTTTGTTTGATACTTTTCTTTGACTTAATAATAATAAACATAGGCACTTTTTGCCTGGAGTACAAACTGGGTCACAGTATTCTCTGGTAAACAATTAAGTTATTTTCCAAATATGTGCTCAGCTAATAGAAACAGCTTTCCTAGATTGTTTTATTTTTATTTATTTTTTGTTTTTTTTTAAAGGGCTTCAACTGTTTTAATGTCAAATTGTGCTGGGAATACTATAACTACATACTACACTTTTCAGCTTTCAATCACTCGCATCTTGTACACAGTAAGAAAACCAAATACATCAAATTTTGCTAAATAATTTATTTATGCATATAAAGCCAAAAATGAATATATCAGGATTATTGCAATTAACGCCATTTGCAGATTCTTGTTTAACTATGGTAGATGGAAGTATTAGTTGCCTTTCACATCACTTTTCACTTCCTGAAACAAAACAAAATGATTTTCTTAAAAATCCATCTGAAATAATAACATTAGCAAAAAAAAAATCTTTAGTTTAATACATAAAAACAAAACAAGAAAAAAGTGATTGAATGGGATAAATCATGGCATAGATATCTATAAAGTTTTGCTTTAGTGATAAAGGGGTAAAAATTTAAGGTCTTTTAAGTGAAACATAAGCTAGAGAAATAAACTATTTGGCCTAATTTAAATAATTTAATTCCTTTCTCCCAAAACACTACATGTATCCCTAAAAAAAGGAAAACTTAAAATGTATCAATATTTACCTTGTGTATAAACTCTTCTGTACATCTACTGTATCAGCTTGACGCTCATTAGGTATGCCTAGTTCCTGTTGAGCAGTTAAGACAAATTAAGTAAATAATTCAAATTTGTAAGACAAACCACTAAATGATAATGTAAGATATATATATATATATATATATATATATATATATATATATATATATATATATATATATATATATATATATATATATCCTGCTTGCAAATCAGCATATTTTGCAAAAAAAATATTTAAAAAGATATAGAATTATTTATAAAAATACATATTGTATCAATCATCACAAATGACTTGGTCTTACTAGGTAAAATATTTTTTAAATACAATATTTATACAAATAAAAATCTATCTCAATCAACTGTCATGTTCAAAATAAACCAAAGTAAACTTGTGATAACTTACCTGTTTCAAGTTTGAGAGGATTCACCCAGTTCTGGCCACTGAAGCAGATTAGATGATTGTATTGTAACACTTGTGATATACTGATTGCAAATTTTTTCAGTTTTAGTCCTGGAGATCCATGTTGTAGGCATAGACTGTTAAACCTGGATAGTAATATTATAGAAGTAAATTATATCTAGTATAAGTATAATATAAATATTTAAAAAATAAATGACACTAAATTATATTTATCATCATTGGAAATAAAAGTGGTAGAATTAAGTTATAAAAAAAACAAATTATAAAATTTAAAGCAGCTTATTAATAATTGTCATACCTTTTCCTGCTTTTATGTCAAATGTAAGAGGTAATAGAGAATAAACATCTTGTGTCATTTAGTATGCTGTAGTCTTATTACTGGTAAAAATGAAATCTTCCCTTTTTGGGTGAACCTGTAAAAGAGAAATTACAACATGGATAAAAACAATGAATTTCATATCTAATCCTCAACTAGTTATCACCCCAATCCTAACCTCATTTTTTAAAACCAATTTCTAAATATGTTTCAGAACAAATTTATGTTAAGTCTACCTATTTTAATGTTCAGAATACTAATAGTTATCAGAACTACCTCCAGTTGAAATTCAAGATACCTTTATATAAAGTTATTAGGCTGCTACATCTGAAAACTAAGGTCAATGCAAAGACTTCCAAATTAACGATAAGTAGGCTTGTATAGATATTGTATATAATTACTAGCCCAATAGTATTACTCTACGACCAATGTATAGGGCAATGTATCAGACCTAATTCCTATAATTAGGCCTACTAATTATTAAATAATTAATAGATCTAACCGTAGGATAATTACAATTATGGGCCTTAGCTGACATAGAGAGCTGAATACTTAACAAAACACTTTTAAAAATTATGGTAAGCTAAGTGAGTTGAATTATTTTATTTAGATAGGCCTAGGCTATAATATACTCTATAGTGATAACCGCAGAGTAGCATATAATCATAATTTAAAATTAAATCTATACGCAACATTAAGCCTCTGCCTTGTTGCCTAATTAAAAACTAAAGCCTATTAAGCCTTTTCCTAATAAGCCTTTGGCCTAATTTAATAACTTAGCCTAGGCCTATATAATATATAAATAAGCTAAACTACTTGTAAGACCTAATAGACTAATGACTAAGAGAGTGCAGGCCCCTATCCGATATTATATAATATATGCTCTCAATATCATAATATCGAACACTGATTACATTAATTTACATAAGGCTATAACATCTTAACTCTAATGGCTAATACTATTTCTACTAATAAAATAGGCTTGGTCTAGTTTTAACTTATGACAATTATAATATTTTTAGTAGATGGCTGAGCCTTAAATTTAAATACTAAAATAGATTTAGCCTACTATCATACTACTCTGCCTATTGTTGGTCTAATTAATAATTTATTTTTCATTTAGAATTTTAGATCTCCAATACATAACTGGCCTAGGTCCTAAATAAATTATTTTTATTTTATTGAGCCCTTAATGTATAAGATATGATCTGTTTTTTTTTATAAAAATAAGCCTATACAATACACACATGACATTTTTGTTCATTGCTCATGATTCTCAGTCTGAACTAGTGATTTATCTAATATCTAGTACTACTTTAGGCCTATTTAATTATTTATTAGTAGGCTGAATAAAATCTAAGCTATCCTTTATTACTATATTGGCCTATATTATAGGCCTATTATTCTATAATTAATTTATGTTTTCTTTCAATACATAGTAGATCCTGTGGTACCTCAACATTCTAGTGCCTCGACATACGAGATTTTTAAAATATGCGCAGTTGAGTGAGTAATCGCTTTGAGTTACAAGCAAAATTTGAGATACCATATTCTGTGGCTTTCACAGTTCATGGAAAAGAAATACCCCCCAAAAGATGCAAATGATTATTCATCGCAGCTATTTAATTTTAATAATATGCGTCTTACTCATATTTGCAGCATTATGAAAGGGAGAAAGAAATTAACTTCCTGAACAAGTTTTATTTTAAGCTACCAGCACATAAAGGTGACTTAAATAAAGCAGGGCAAAAAAAGAAAAAAAAGCTGTCACGAAAATTAGAGAATCTAGGTCTTACTTAAGCTAACGTAGACGTAATAATTTTATTTAGTATTAGTATTTAGGCCTTACGTTTAAGTCTTAAGCGCCAAGTGCAACAATGCTCAGTGAATTTTAGCCATGGTCCATTGAGTTTAGGAATAATGTATAGGCCTAATGTGTAGCTTTAGTAATTTTTAGACCTAAGCCTAAGCTTGTACATACAGATCTAGATCTACAAACAATTTGAAATAGAAGAGATTTAAAATTGAATAGATCCAAAAGGACAGCTATGCCACGGAAATGATTATCTTTCTATTCTAGATCTAGAATCTATTAGATCTAGATCTCTAGTGCTACTGAAAAATTACTAGATCTAGATTCTAGAATCTAGATCTAGATCTAGATCTAGATCTAGAAATCTAGCTAGATATCTATTATCTAGATTAGGCTTGTCGGTATCGGCCGAGATCGCGGTAAAAACATGACCCGAAATCTCCCATTACTTTCTGATACCGGGCGCACGAGATTTAGTTTTGCATACTAATAAGTTTTTAATTTATGGTAATTAATTAAGTTTAAAAGGTCATTTCCTAATGTTAAATGAAAAGTAGAATGGTTTTCCAGTTGTTTTGATGGCTTAGCGATCTGATTGCATGCTGTCTCTGCTTTGGTCTTACCGCGGTATAAAGGTTAACTTCAAATGCTTTAAAAACGCGATTTTTGAAAAGTTTCCATTTAGATAATGAAAGTTTCCAAAGCAGATACATCCCATTTTTATAGAAATGATATTTATTTTTGGATATTTTGACTTTGACATTAGTAAATACTCATTTGAAAGTAGTCACCGTAAGTAGGTCACGTTGCCCCCATTGACTCCAATGTTATATTTCTTCATCCCGATCTGCCGGCTTTTAGTTTTGATACACTAACAACAGTATTCTTATGTAATGTACAAACAAATCTCCTACTTGTTGTTTTAAACATATTTTAATATAGATCTACCTGTCTTTCATTTTTTCAACTCTGGTTCTAGTTTTGCTTGAAGTAAAATTTTGCTGAGTCAGACATAGGTTACCTGTCTGTTGCTAGAATACACTACACTAGCTATGTGCTAACTGTAATTTTAAGTATTCAAGTTCTACTTACCCTTACTTAGTTATATTTATATGCTGAAAATCAGAATTCATACAAAATACACACATAAAAACATTGATCAGATAACTTCAGTTCACTTTTAACAAAATGGCTTAAAGATAGACTCTACTTCACCTGCCCAAAATAATAAGGCAATTATATGCACATTACAGTGTTCAAGTCATTTACTTTAGATTGCTAACTATGTAGTTCTTTCATTCACTGTATTTATATAAAGCATTGCTTTAGAAACTTTTTCATATTTGCGCAGCACAGTTTTATAACAAAATGTCTTAAAGATGGACTCTACTTCACCTGCCCAAAATAATGGGGCAGTTATATGCAGTTATATGCACATTTCAGTGTTCAAGTCATTTACTTTAGATTGCTAACTTTGTAGTTCTTTCATTCACTGTAAAACATTGCTTTAGAAACATTTTCATATTTGCGCAGCACAGTTTTTTTGGGGTTATGGAAGGAAGCCAACACAAAAATATACTTCTGTATTATTTTTATTTATTTCAACAGCATATACAAGTTCTATATATCATTCTAGCTCAACTCTGCAAATATGAACAAAATACAACTGCAAGTAAAATAACTATGCTCAATTTATTCAGGTATACCATGACTTGTCACAATTGGCCAATGCAAAAGCAAGGGCATTACACCCCTCACAAAAAAATTCGCTAAAAAAAAACTATTTGAGCTAGACAGAAAATCTTTTTTGTTTTGTTTTCATATAGTTGAGCTCTACAAGAATATGTAATTTTTATTTTTATATGATGATTAGTGTTTTTTTACCAAAATCCCTAATCTAGATCTATCATTTACTTACGAGGCACTAGGCATACTTTTAACTTTTCTCTCTAGTCAATAATGTAGATTTCTAGATTCTAGATCTAAATTTAAATCTAGATCTTGCAGATTTACGTAGGTTATACATCAGTGTAAATCGTTGATCAAGTAGATCTAGATCTAGAGGATCTAGAGATCTAGATCTGGACTAGCTCTCGTCAAAACAAAATGGCTGGAATCTTCAGCTACATTTCTCGTTTCGTTTCTTTTTTTTAACCATAAAATATAGAGTCTTCGGAGTTAAGAGTTTTTTATTAATTCTCTACGACAGTCTCATTTGAGAACGAATGGAAGGGTCTTATTCTCATCAACACTGTTGGAGAGAAACTCAACGTTTTTGTCGTTGAGACAATACGCATGGGGTGTTCGCCCTGTCCCCGAAAATGTCATGAAGGAAATAAGCTGATTCTGCATTTAAATCCTCTTTTATGTAGGAAATGCGATTTGTTTCCCACTGCTTCACACATGTTAATGAGCTGGATATAATGCTCGGCCAGAGGCGTAGCGAGACGGGGAGACGACATAATATGTCCCCGGGCGCCTACCTTAGGGGGCGCCAAAATGGGTTGGAAAAATAAATTGAAAGGTTGAGGGGAGGTGCAAATGGAAATCTTGAGTGGGGGGGGGGGGGTGCAAATCGAAAAAGTTTGAGGGGGGGAGGGTGCAAATCGAAATCTGGAGAGGGGGGTGCAAATCGAAAGTTTGTCCCCGGGTGCCGGGAGGGGTCGCTACGCCTCTGTGCTCGGCTTTTTACAATCCCTGGTAAAACAGCCCTTCCTACCTTATAAATCGGCCTTATTGGATATGGGAGGCAGTAGTATACACTTTCACCTAGGACTGATGTTGGCTATTCTTTATCATCAGATTACGCCCCCCCCCCCCCCCCGTAGAAGAGTTAGTAATCTCCTGGCGTATATTTACCTATTTCTTTTAGAGTTGTTTGTATGGTGCTTATATCGTGATTCCTACAAACAGAGCATGTGACGGAGTGGTCTAGCGGTAGAGAGCTGGACTTCTAACTCGTCAGTCTCGTGTTCTAATCCGAGTTCAAGTCAATAGGCCCCGCAGAGTCCATCCAACTCAGATGGGTACCTAACTCACGTTAGGGAAAGTAACGGCGGCTGGGCATAGCATATCTCTACTTCACTTGCCCTGAAAAGGGAACTTAACTTTAACAAACAGAGCACATATATATAAACGACTGTATCGTGATTCCTACAGAGCACATACATAGTACGAAGTAATGACGCTAGTTGATTTTTTAAAGAAATGCTTTAGCTTTTTAATACAACTTGAAAGAGTATATCTATAATATAAGCGGGCTGAGCGTGTGTCAGTCCTTCCTTCCTTCTGTCATCGCTATAGCTTTTGGAACCATAAAAGTAAACATTCGCACCATGCTGTGCTTTTCAGTGCACCGCAGTGTCTTATTATAAGTATTAGAGTAGGGTTTGTTTATATAGCGGCATAGAGCTATTTTATAATTGCCACGGTTTTTACTCTTTCGCATAACGTCAAGAAAATATTAAATACACGCAAACTGCAAAAACGTATTAAAAAGATTAATGTCAAATATCATTTTCGTTTAGGTTCCCAGAAAAAGTGGATACATTTCCATAAAAGTAGGTCGAAAAAACTAATTAATTCAACTTTTTTTTTTGTGGTAATTTTTTCAAGGGAGGTAATTTGAAAATATATTTAACTCAACAATAATTTAAGTTAATCTTTTTTTTTATTACTACCGCATTGATTAGTCTATGTTAAGGTTCATAATTAAAAGAGAAAAATGTTAAGATTATTTATACTATTTTCTAATTAGTCTATGATTTCTCAAAATCACTATTTTTTGTTTTTGTTTTTTGGTGTTAACAGATGGTGAAATTTTATAATTATAGTATAGATAATAGAGAATGCTGGAAAGACTCTCTCTAGGCGCGGACGCCTGGGAAAAGCGTGTTTTTCGGTGGTAATTCTAATTACATTGCCAATGTGTTTTCTTAGAACCATAAAAGTAAACACCACTTGCCGTACATTCATTTGCATCGCATTGTTTTATTGTAAGTTATGGAGTAGGATCTATTTATGTGACTTAAATTTTTAATGTTGGAAAGGCTGTCTTTGGGCGCGGACGCCTAAAAAAGCGTGTTGTTTGGTGGTGATTCTAATGTTGTGGTTGTGTTGTTGTTTTTTTTTTTGGTTGTGTTGTGGTTGTGTTGTGGTTGTTTTTTGGTTGTGTTGTGGTTGTTTTTTGGTTGTGTTGTGGTTGTGTTGTGGTTGTGTTGTGGTTGATTTTTGGTTGTGTTGTGGTGGTTTTGTGGTTGCGTTGTGGCTGTGTTGTGGTTGTGTTTTTGTTGTGGTTGTGGTTGTGTTGTAGTTGTGGTTGTGTTGTGGTTGTGTTGTGGTTGTGTTGTGGCTGTGTTGTGGTTGTGTTGAAGTTGTGGTTGTGTTGTGGTTGTGTTGTAGTTTTGTTGTGGTTGTGGTTGTGTTGTGGTTGTATTGTGGTTGTGTTGTAGTTTTGTTGTGGTTGTGTTGTGGTTGTGTTGTGGTTTTGTTGTGGTTGTGTTGTGGTTGTGTTGTGGTTGTGTTGTGGTTGTGTTGTGGTTGTGTTGTGGTTGTGTTGTGGTTGTGTTGTGTTTGTGGTTGTGTTTTTTGTGTTTGTGTTGTTTTTGTTTGTTTTGTTCTTTTCCAAAGTTGGTACATTTAAAAAAGATTTACCGTGGCGGAGCACGGGATGCAGCTAGTATATATATATATATATATATATATATATATATATATATATATATATATATATATATATATATATATATATATATCTGTAGTCTAAGTACGGTCGTTCGATATTGTATGGAAATTTCAAAATCATTTTTTTTTTTTGCATTGCTGTTTTTTTTTAGCCCCGTCTATTTCGTTCACATACATGTCGAGCCCACGAGCGTAAAATAGAATACATAAATCGAAAAGTTTGAAGAACATCAGCCAACACCACAACACCAAAGACCAGACACAGACACGAGATACAGATGACCTGGCCGAGAGTTTGGGAACTTGGGCTCGTGTTGTCCATGGAGTTTTTTCTTTGTAAAGTCGCTGTCAGATTGGTCTTTGGGACGTTGAGGCGTTCTTTTATTTGTACTGTGAGGGTTTCTTTAGTTTGTACATTCAATGTAATATTGGGCGTTGTCTGTTTATTTGCACATGTACAACGACATTGTTTTATTTCTGAGTTGACGGCAGCAAAAAGGTTGGTGTCTTCTGCGGGCAGTTGAGTTTCTGAAGATGGTGTTTGTGTTGTTGTTGTTGTTTGTCGTGCATCATTTGGCGTTGTCAATTTAGTTGATTCAAGTTGACTAGAAGGCGTGGTCATCAGCTGGCTAACAGGAGTAGGCGTGGTCATCAAATGACTGACAGGAGTAGGCGTGATTATTGGCTGGTCGACAGGTGTAGGCGTGGTCATCAGCTGGCTGAAAGGAGTAGATGTAGTGATCAGATAGCTGACAGTTGTAGGCGTAGTCATAAGTTGGCTGACTGGAGTAGACGTGGTAATTGGCTGGCTTACAAGAGGGGGCGTGGTCATCAACTGACTGGCAGAAGTAGGCGTGGTAATTAGCTTGCTAACATGAATAGACGTGGTCATCAGCTGACTTACAGAAGTAGGCGTGGTTATAAGCTTGCTGACAGTAGTAGGCGTGGTCATCAACTGGCTGACATAAGTAGGCGTGGTTAGCTTGCTGACAGGAGTAGACGTTGTCACCAGTTGACTTACAGAAAAAGGCTTGCTTATCAACTGGCTGTAAAGAGGAGGCGTGGTCAACAACTGGCTGATAAATGTAGGTGTGGTCATCAGCTGACTGACAGGTGGAGGCGTAGTTATCAACTGACTATAAAGGATATGTGAGCTCATTAACTGGGTGCCAGTGGTGGGCGTGGTGATACTCTTAGCTACAGGTGTAGTTACAGTAGTCACATTGATCATATGTGAAGTCGTACTACTCGACAATAGATTACTGACATGACTGGGCGTGGTCATTGACAAACTAGCATAGTGTGTTGACCAAGCGTTATGCTCTGATGGTGGTTGACTCGTGATGTCTGACCCAATTTCATCCATCGAATTCGTTTCAGTAAACGTTGATTTAATGTTATACACAGGAACGGTTTTCATTTCTTCATTCACCACAGAGGCAGTTGATATTGATTCAACTTCATTCACCAGAGATGTTGATGTTGACTCAACTTCATCCACCAAATATGTTGCTTTTGAGTTTGACTCAACTTCATCCACCACAGGGGCAGTTGATATTGAATCAAGTTCATCCACCACAGAGGCAGTTAATGTTGACTTAACTTCATTCACCAAATATGTTGCTGTTGAGTTTGACTCAACTTCAGCCACCACAGAGGCAGTAGATGTCGACTCAACTTCATCCACCAAATATGTTGCTGTTGAGTTTGACCCAACTTCATCCATCACAGAGGCAGTTGATGTTGACTTAACATCATCCATCAAATATGTTGCTGTTGAGTTTGACTCAACTTCATCCACCACAGAGGCAGTTGATGTTGACTCAACTGCATCCACCAAATATGTTGCTGTTGAGTTTGACTCAACTTCATCCACCAAATGTGTTGCTGTTGAGTTTGACTCAACTTCATCCACCAAATATGTTGCTGTTGAGTTTGATTCAACTTCATCTACCATAGAGGCAGTTAATGTTGGCTCAACTTCATTCACCAATGATGTTGCTGTTGATGTTGACCCAACTTCATTCACCAAAGATGTTGCTGTTGATGTTGATTCAATTTTATCCACTACAGAGGTAGTAGATGTTAATCCTACTTCAGTCAACACAGATGTTGCAGTTGATGTTGACTCGGCTTCATTCACCAAAGATGCAGAAGATATTGAATAAACGTAATACATTGAAGATACCGTAGGCAATTCAGGTAATGTTGACTCGATTGGAATTACTGACTGTGATTCAGAAGATGTTGGCCAAACATTATACTCTGAAGTTTTCACAATAGACAATGATCCAGCTTCAAATTCTGAAGGTAATTCAGTAAAAGTTAAGACTATCTTTGTTAAGTTTTCCCAAACTTCATACACTGAAGATTCCTCCGATAATGTTGACGTGACCTCCAAGGTATCGGATGGGACATTGTTGTCTGTAGACGCCACAGAAGCTGAACTCTCGCAGATGGCGTTGTTTGTCACGCTTGATACAGAGTTTTGGCGAGCCTGCTATAAAATAACAGGGTGTAAATTTAACTGTGTGAAAGTTAACGATGCTGATGGTCACACCCTCAGTGGCGTAGCGAGGTCACCCGGTGCGGCACTTAATGGTGTCACCCCCCCCCCCCCCAGAGGCGTTGCGACCCCTTAAACTTTCGATTTGCACCCCCCCCCCCCCGCCCCTCAAGTTTTTTATTTGCACCCCCCCCCCCCACCCTCAAACTTTCGATTTACACCCCCCTCAAGTTTTTCTCTATATATTTTGCTATTTTTTGCCTTGGTGTCACCCCCCTAAATGGTGTCACCCGGTGCGGTCCGCACCCCCCGCCCCCCCCCCCCCCTCGCTACGCCCCTGCACACCCTACTCTCACGCAAGCTGCAAGAAATTTAGGGGGAAAAAAGGATGCGTTGTGGGCCACCTCACAGCGCGTTAGTCCTACAGCAACCCATCTAGGAGAGAAAACTCTAAAATCAAGCAACTGTTTCCTTGTTGTTTGTTCTTGGTCGGACAAAGGCTATGGAAGCAAATCCAGAAAGAAAAGCAGGCTGAAGTCGGAGTCTACGGCCTCTATAGCGCTTAAGAAGTTGACACGTAATACTTAATCGAAATACCCTCTAACATTTTAATTAAGAACGAAGAAGAAGAAGACAGAAGCGAAAAGTCCAAAACGCCATGCATATTGGACCCGTAGTTGTCCAAGAGACAAGAACCGAACACTATCACTAACCAAACGCTCTAACAACCGACCACACCTTCTCTTTTAACTGCACGTAAAACAGCACAATATATACTCACCAACTCGCCAAATCCCAGAGGAATAGCGTTGCCAATATTAATCATCACATGAGCAGAGACAAAACCACCAAACAGGCATCCGTTGTTCTGTATGGTGTGGCGGGTCAGGTCAGGCAAAGGGACATCTAATGATTGAAATTGGCGATCGCTTTCATACTCCCACTTTGTTACGTTAACTGGTTCCCCGTCAAGCTAATTTGGAGGAAATAAAATGTAGCGTCAGTTCTGGAACATCAACGCTTTAGTTTGTGTAAAGTGTAAACGTTGCTGCAGAAAGCAGTGTTAAGCGTAAAGTTTTGTTTAATAAAGTAAATACTGGCAGCATTGGGGGGGGTGGTGGTGTGGCCTAACAGTAAAGCGCTAGACTGATAATCCGAAAGTCTCGCGTTCGAATCCGGGTTCAAATCAGTAAAACGTCCCTGACTCCACCCAGCTCTGATGGGCGCCTTACCCACGTTAGGGGAAAAAAGGCGGCTGGGCATAGTGCTGACCACACTATCCCTTCATATGTCGTGGTCAATAAATCAGATGAACTCTACTTCAACTGCGCCAAGTGTCATGATGACATTGGATTGTTTGTTTCAAGAGGAACACTGTGGAGTAAAACTATGCAATGTCATTGGAGATTGCTTTGGGGATTTTCTCTACGATCTCTAAACACATGAAACTCACCAAAAAACTCCTCCAAGCAACAATTCCTGTAAGTGACCAATGTCCTAGTTAACTCACCAAATACTCCGAGCAACAATTCCTGTAAGTGACCAATGTCCTAGTAAACTCACCAAATACTCCGAGCAACAATTCCTGTAAGTGACCAATGTCCTAGTTAACTCACCAAAAACTCCGAGCAACAATTCCTGTAAGTGACCAGTGTCCTAGTTAACTCACCAAATACTCCGAGCAACAATTCCTGTAAGTGACCAATGTCCTAGTAAACTCACCAAATACTCCGAGCAACAATTCCTGTAAGTGACCAATGTCCTAGTAAACTCACCAAATACTCCGAGCAACAATTCCTGTAAGTGACCAATGTCCTAGTAAACTCACCAAAAACTCCGAGCAATAATTCCTGTAAGTGACCAATGTCCTAGTAAACTCACCAAATACTCCGAGCAACAATTCCTGTAAGTGACCACTGTCCTAGTAAACTTACCAAAAAACTCCTCCGAGCTACAATTCCTGTAAGTGACCAATGTCCTAGTAAACTCACCAAATACTCCGAGCAACAATTCCTGTAAGTGACCACTGTCCTAGTAAATTCACCAAAAAACTCCTCCGAGCTACAATTCCTGTAAGTGACCAATGTCCTAGTAAACTCACCAAATACTCCGAGCAACAATTCCTGTAAGTGACCAATGTCCTAGTAAACTCACCAAATACTCCGAGCAACAATTCCTGTAAGTGACCAATGTCCTAGTAAACTCACCAAAAACTCCGAGCAACAATTCCTGTAAGTGACCAGTGTCCTAGTTAACTCACCAAAAAGTCCGAGCTACAATTCCTGTAAGTGACCAATGTCCTAGTAAACTCACCAAATACTCCGAGCAACAATTCCTGTAAGTGACCAATGTCCTAGTAAACTCACCAAATACTCCGAGCAACAATTCCTGTAAGTGACCAATGTCCTAGTAAACTCACCAAAAACTCCGAGCTACAATTCCTGTAAGTGACCAATGTCCTAGTAAACTCACCAAATACTCCGAGCAACAATTCCTGTAAGTGACCAGTGTCCTAGTAAACTCACCAAAAACTCCGAGCAACAATTCCTGTAAGTGACCAATGTCCTAGTAAACTCACCAAAAACTGTAAGTGACCACTGTCCTAGTAAACTCACCAAAAACTCCGAGCAACAATTCCTATAAGTGACCAATGTCCTAGTAAACTCACCAAAAACTCCGAGCAACAATTCCTGTAAGTGACCAGTGTCCTAGTTAACTCACCAAAAAGTCCGAGCTACAATTCCTGTAAGTGACCAATGTCCTAGTAAACTCACCAAAAACTCCGAGCAACAATTCCTGTAAGTGACCAGTGTCCTAGTTAACTCACCAAAAAGTCCGAGCTACAATTCCTGTAAGTGACCAGTGTCCTAGTTAACTCACCAAAAACTCCGAGCAACAATTCCTATAAGTGACCACTGTCCTAGTAAATTCACCAAAAACTCCGAGCAACAATTCCTATAAGTGACCACTGTCCTAGTAAATTCACCAAAAACTCCGAGCAACAATTCCTATAAGTGACCAATGTCCTAGTAAATTCACCAAAAACTCCGAGCAACAATTCCTGTAAGTGACCAGTGTCGCGACCAACGTTTCCCCACCAGTAGAGACGTAAGCCAGAGTGTAGCTCATGGACCAGCTGTCTACTGGATGTATCAGGACAAACGCTCCGTCAAAGTCTAAACCGTGAAGAATTGAAATAGCCTTTTCATCTTTTCATAAACAAAAAATACTTCCTAGGTTTAAGATTTGAATTTTACAAGCTTTTAACGAAAATTTTACGAATGTCATTCAAACGACAAATGCTTACCTACACTCCCCTTTGACAAAAGGACTACAAGAATCTGTTTATCAGAAGATATAACGACAACCGTCCCAGTTTTGAGTTCATACTCTACAAAAAATGCGTTCAGTGTTTGTAGTTTGAGAAGTGACGTGTCAAAGGTCAGGTCGGTCTTTTGTTCCGTGAAGACAATCTTAACGATGGAATTTAAATTACTCATTGGGTAGGTGCCGATGACAAAACTTGTACCGTAGGAATCTGATGGTACCATTTGTTCCACAACTTGGTCCTTGAATGCAAATTTGATTAACATTACTAATATCTACAGCAACATTGAGAAAAGGTAATTTCAGTATAGAGAGGTAATCTTCAGTATATATATAGAGAGTGATTCTAATTTAAAACAGACTCTAGTGCGAACAATATTTTTAAATAGAATACCTAGATTACATTTATTACAAACAATTGACACAAAAGCAAATAAACAAAACAAATACAATATATTTACTAAATTGATATTATGGGGACATTCACAACTAAATAAATAAATACTCTTAATTGAATTCTTTTTAGAGACTTGCACGCAATTTAATATATAAAATAAACCGGGAGTGATCTCCCCTAAACTTTCTCGAATATTCTTATATAACTTGGAATATAGACATGATTTTTAATTACTTAAACTTTTAAAAATAGAATAGAATCTCATAGAAAAAAGAATTGCGCACCAAGCGAAAGCCAAAACAAAATGTGCATAATAGTGCGCAATATAATTAGTCTAATATATAAAGCTCAATTCTGTATGTAATAAGTTTGTTTTTCGTTGACATACTTCTATGGATTTAAGTGTTAGATAATTAAAGTCCTTATGGTCTAAATTTATGAGTTAAAAAATTAATATTGAAAGTTTTGGGAAATAATTTTCATTTATCATACTGAAAGTAATAATTTTCGGCATGTTCATTAAACACAAGTTTTAAAAAAATATCATCTTTTACAAAAATTCTAATTATGTCTTTATTTAGTCCTATAGCACTTACTTCCCTTTGATAAATTAGGAAAACACAATTACTTCCCTTTATAAAACCATTGCATTAGTGGAAAAGAATTTACTTTTTATTACTTTGTTTTGGTGTTGGGAAAAAAATAATTACATAATTAGCGGGGATTGATCAAGTGCAAATATTGTAGGTATTTTACGGATAAGCTTGGAGTATTATAATTGTTCATTAAATTGAAACAGGCGCGTTCGTTTAAGTGAGTGCAAAAGACCATGAATAAGTTGGGGTACTATAGTCGTTTATTAAGCTAAAACAGGCGATTCCGCCCCGGGCTAGACTGTGAGCACTTCGCGTTTATGTTCGCGTTAGTGTTTTCTTTGTGTTTAGGTTGGGTTTGCGTTAGTGGTTGCGGATTGATTTGGTTCGTTTTTGTTCTTTCTTTTTTCGTTTTTGTTTGTGTATTTTTAGCGCAATTTCCATTCTGGAGAATTGCGTTTATTAACTCGTCATTTCTGGGAATGGATGGATGAATGAATGTATGAATGTATGGATGTATGGATGAATGTGTGTCCGGGCTTTAAGTCGTATCTCCTCCTCAACGAAGCAATATCGATGACTAGGTACAAAAGCAATTATGTTTAGCAAGTTACGAGGATGAACATAGGCCATAAAAATTACGGGTTTCTTTCATGTATTTCCCGGAAAAGCCAAAAAACCTCGAAGAAATTCAGTTTTTGGCCCATATCTCTGCAACCAGACCACTTAGCGACGTGAAACATGTATCAATCGATTCCTGCCATAATTTAGAACAATATTGCCGAAGAAAGTTTTCAAAAATATCCTTTCGTTCGGTCACAAATAAATTTTGAATTAATTAAAATTTTGAACCGAATTAGTAGGCATTTTTTCCAACCACACCACACGCGTCATCACGTTCAATAGCTGCGCCATCGCGTTCCATGGCTGCGCCATCACGTTCAGTAGGCGCGCAATGGTTTTTAGTCATGTAACTCTATTGTAAATAAAACATGTAAAATACTGAAAAAAATTAATAAAAAACGTTTTAATAACTAACCAATGGTTTTACTAACCCTGCTCTTGATTTACGCTACGACAGAGCTATTTTTAGATAACATAAGGAAATTGCGCTAAAATTGTCACTAGACTTTTTAATTACCTTGTTTTGGGTTTGTATTTGTGTTTTTGGTTGGTTTTGCGTTTTGATTTGGTTTGTTTTCGTTTGCTTTTTCGTTGTTTTTTGTGTGTTGTTATTGGTTGGTATTGGTGTTTGTGGTTGTGGTTGGGTTTGTTGTTAGGTTTTTGTTTTCGTTTGTATTTCTAATTGTGTTAGCGTTATGTTAGCGTTATGTTTGCGTTTTGTTGTTTTGGTTTTTGTTGGTTGTGGTTTGGGTGGGCAATGCCGGGTTTATGATGATTACTAAACACACAGGTGATGGTCTTTAACAGAAAGGTTTTTCACAGAAGCCAGAGCAGGGCCTGGCCGGGACGGCTAGTACTTTATAAATTTACATGCGTTTTGTGAGAAATTTGACAGAAGGTAGAGAATTAGATCTTTTACTTACATGTGAAATTTCATTGATCTATCTGAAATAGTACTCAAGTTATAGGCTTTTGAAAATTTCAAAGTAGAAAAAGTACCTCTTCCGGTTATCGGAAATCACTCAATAGTTGATCAGGATCTACGGTTTTGACAAAATACTTATATATGAAATTTCATCAACCTAGCTGTAACGGTACTCAAGTTATCGTGTTTACACACAGACAGACACACAGAAAGACACACAGA